AGGAGGAGGTGGAGGAGGACGAGGAGGAGGAGGAGGAGGCGGGGAAGTTTCCGCAGCCACTCGGGCCCAAGCTGGTACTCCTGCGGCCCCCCGGCGTCTCCCGCGTCCTGTGCGCGCGATGCCGGGGCGGCCGTGGGACGGCGGCAGGCCTGGGGGCGGCGAGGGCTGGAGCGCTGGCGGGTGGCGGGGCGGCGGCTGGGGCGACGGCTGGAGGCGCCGATCTCCGACGATGTGTTTTTTTCGAGCCCTGCTGTGCGCGCTCGTGCTCCAGCGCGCACGCTCAAGACCCTCGTGCTCTGAGCGTGCTTCTCTATTCTCCCCCGCGCGCTCCTTCCCTTCCTTCGCCTGCTGCGCCCCGTTCGGCCTCGTAGTGTCCCTCGGCTGCCTCCCAACGCGGCGTGGATCCGCGCCGCTGCGACCAAGTGCCTGTATTTCTCAAGATCCCGGCGCGCTTCCTCGACGTCGGCCTCGGGGTGCCGGTGTCTGGGCCCAGGGCAATCAGGAAGAGATCCGGGGCAGGAGAGACGGGTCCCCGGGGAAGCGGTCGGAGCTTATCCCTGGGGCCGCGGGCTGAAGGGATCACATCGGCGGGCGCCAGGGGGGGCGGCGCCGCGCCCAGCGGCGGAGGCGAGGGCTGGAGGCAGGGGGGGCCAGCAGATCCCGATGCCGCTGCTCCCTGGACCTCTCCCTCGGGGGCGGCCAGAGGGGGGGGGTGATGACGAGGGGGGGAGGTGGGTATCATGGCGGGGGCCATGATATCTCCCCAGATGTCATGGCGCCTCCTCTTATTTCAATGCGTCCCCGCCCCCACCCCCCCGGGCCGCGCAAATGCCGCTGGCCATGGTTTGCGCCCCCCCCTCTCTTGGACGCCCCCCTCTTGGCCGCCCCCGATCTCCAGGGGCGCGTTCTAGCCAGGGCGCCTGGGGCGAGTTTTGGCTGTGGCAGCGGGGGGGGTCGCGGCATCGGCACATCGTTTCCTCCTCGGAGGGCCCAGGCTTCCCAGAGGTTGTCGAAGAAGATGGGGTCGGGGGATCGCGCCACATCGCCGATGCACCGGCGATGCGGCCCGATGTGGAGCCACGCCGAGGGCGTCGATGCATCGCCGATGCGTCGCCGGGGTGCCCCCCGGGATGCGCTGGCGATGCGGCGCGACCCTCCGACCCCAGGTAGGCGACGGGCGCAAGCGGTGTCCTCTGCGCCGACATCCGCGCGCCAGCTGTTCGCGGCAGGTCGCGCGCAATGCGCGCCCTCGCTCCAGGTGTGGCGTGCCGCGCGGGCGGCCTGCGTGCGCCCGCCGCGCGCCCGTCGCGGTGCCATCTCGCCTAAGGCCCGCTTCCGTTCGTCGCCGACCTGCTCGAACCCCTGAGATCCGACGTGGCAACAAAAACTGCAACATCGCGAAGAAGCACCGCTGGAGCCCCGGACCTCCATCTCTCCCTGCGCCCTCTCTCGAGCCGCACCGACCTGGGAGGGCCCCCCTGGGGCCCGAAGAAAGGGAGAGCGAGGAGAGACGCCCGCTGGGGAAAGAAATTGCAGCGCCAGGGTCTCAGGGCCCCCCTCTGGGGAGGCCTCCCCAGGGGCGGCGGCGCCGCGCCTGGCGGCGGGGAGGGCCAGCGCGGCGGCGCCCCGAGGGACGGCCCGCAGCCCTGGCGCGGGCGCGGTCGCGGCGCCCCCGGCCGGGGCCGCCCGCAGGCCGGCGGCGACGCGCCCGCGGGCGGCGCGGGGCCCTCCAGGGGCGCCGGGGGCCCCGCGGAGCCGCGGCCGCGGCTGCCAGCGCCGCCGCAGGTCCGCACCGCCGGGCGCCAGGCCTCCCAGGTGGGGTCGGAGGCTCGCGTCGCCTCGCCGATGCATCGCCGACGCGGCTCGGTCGCCGATGCGTCGCCGACGTCGACGATGCGGCGCCAGTGCATCGGCGAGGCGGCTCCATCTGCTCCGACCCCATCTGCTCCGACCCCATCTTGGGGGGCCTCTGTTGACCGATCCCCATCTCCACGGGGCCAGGGTACCTCGGCCCCCCCAGCCCACCACGCCAGCTGGGGATACCCTGGGATCCGCCGTTGCCAAACAATTGCAACGTCGCAGAAAATCGCGACCAGAGAGCCCTGGACCCCATCTTTCTGCGTCTTTATCCGAGCCGGATCGGTCTGTGAGGGCCCCGCAGCCCGAAATGGAGCGAAAACGCCCGCTGTGAAAAGAATGCAGCGCCAGGATCTCAGGACACGCCCCTCGAGGTCGTATGGGGGACAGCCCGCCTCCCCGTCCGGGGGGGGGGGGCAGGTGGCCCGTGGGGCCCGGGCCGCGTCGGTGGAGGCAGGGACCGGTGGTACACGACGCCTGGCAGGGCCTCGGCGAGCTGCTGCGCCCGCGCTTCCTGCCGGACCCCGGCCCGGGCAGGTTCTCGCAGAACTCGGGAGCGGAAAGGAGGGGGGTGACGACTGGGGGGGGGTGGATATCATGGCGCGGGCCATGATTTTTCCCCAGATTTCTGGGCGCCTCTTCTTGTTTTGTTACGTCCCAGGCCCCCCCGCTGGGCCGCGCACATGCCGCCCGTCATGATTTGCACCCCCCCCTCTTGGACACCCCTTTCTTGGCCGCTCCCGAAGAACAAAAGTTGTGCAAACGCGATTTCTCGGAGGTCCGTGCGGGTGTCTTGGTGCGCTTCGCGCGCCAGGGAGGGTGGTCCAGCGCCGATCCAAGAAGCCCGCGCGGACACCCGAGACTTCTTCTGCCTGTGCAGTTTTTTGTGCCTCCAGGTTCACGCCCACGTACGAGGCCCGGGGGCCCCCCAGACGGTGCGGTGGCCACGGCGTGCGGTGACCACGCCGTGGTGTGCGGGGTTTGCGGGCGCCTTCGTCGGCTCCAGGGGGGCGATCCTGCCTCGGGATGCGTTCCCGCAGCGGCGCCTCGCCCAGAGCGTTCCGAGGGTGCCCGGATCGTCCCGGGCGACCGCGGGAGACCCGACCTGTGGCACGGAAGCCTGTGACTCGGAGGAGGGCCAGTGAAGACAGCGGCAGCTGGCCTTTGGGGGCCCCCCTCTCGTGGCCACGGCCGGTCACAGCTCGGAGAGCTGGTGCGCTTGGATCCTGGGAGGGGTCCAGGCACCGACTTGGAGCTGCCGTTGTCTCCACTCGCCCTGCTCCAGGCGACCCCACCGCGTGGTGAGTCAGTGGGGATTCGGGGTGACCGAGCGGTTTTGGGATCCGGGTCTCTCTCTCCGGGAGGATGTCTCGGGCGGCTGGGGCCTCTCAAGGCCCCAAGACCGTGCGGGGTGGCGGGCCGTGTGGTGAAGCCTTTGGGGATCCCGAGGGCTCCCGAGAGCCGACGCCGCGATGAAACCACCAGCGGAGCCCCAGGCCCCACCCTTCTGCTGCCTTCTTCGGGCCGGATCGATCTGTGATCCGGGGGCCCGCACCCGGGCGCCACGCCCGGATCTGAGGGGAGGCCTTCGGGGATCTCGAGGTAACTCGGGCGTGTCCCCCTACAGGGGGGATTTTCGACGAAAGATACAAAATACGCACACAAGTATCCCCAAAGGGTAAAAAATTAGCCTGGCGAAGGACCCAACCATATGCAGCTGCGAGTACCGCAAGGATACCAGTGTCAAGCTCCCCCCGACCTTCGGTGGAGATCCCTATGGGGCCACGAAGCGTGTGAGGGGTGTGCCGAAATGGGTGGTGGGGAGTGCCGAAATGGGTGGTGGGGAGGCATGCGAACCCTGCCACTGGGGCCTTCGGTGGAGCTCCCTATGGGGCCACGAAACGTGTGAGGGGTGTGCCGAATGGGTGGTGACCCTGCCACTGGGGCCTTCGGTGGAGCTCCCTATGGGGCCACGAAGCGTGTGAGGGGTGTGCCGAAATGGGTGGTGGGGAGGCATGCGAACCCTGCCACTGGGGCCTTCGGTGGAGCTCCCTATGGGGCCACGAAACGTGTGATAGGTATGCCGAGATGGGTGGTGGGGAGGCATGCGAACCCTGCCACTTGGGCCTTCGGTGGAGCTCCCTTGGGGCCACGAAGCGTGTGAGGGGGTGCCGAAATTGGTGGTGGGAGGCATGCGGACCCTGCCACTGGGGCCTTCGGTGGAGCTCCCTATGGGGCCACGAAACGTGTGAGGGGTGTGCCGAAATGGGTGGTGGGGAGGCATGCGAACCCTGCAGCTGGGGCCACGGTGGAGCCTGGGCCCTATGGGGGCCACGAAAGGTGTGAGGGGTGTGCCGAAATGGGTGGTGGGGAGGCATGCGAACGCAGCCACTGGGGCCTTCGGTGGAGCTCCCTATGGGGCCACGAAACGTGTGAGGGGTGTGCCGAAATGGGTGGTGGGGAGGCATGCGAACGCAGCCACTGGGGCCTTCGGTGGAGCTCCCTATGGGGCCACGAAACGTGTGAGGGGGTGTGCCGAAATGGGTGGTGGGGAGGCATGCGAACGCAGCCACTGGGGCCTTCGGTGGAGCTCCTATGGGGCCACGAAACGTGTGAGGGGTGTGCCGAAATGGGTGGTGGGGAGGCATGCGAACGCAGGCCATGGGCCTTCGGTGGAGCTCCCTTGGGGCACGAAGGTTGTGAAGGGGGGTGGCCGAAATGGTGTGGGGGGGCATGCGAACGCAGCCACTGGGGCCTTCGGTGAGCTCCTGTGGGGCCACGAAGCGTGTGAGGGGTGTGCCGAAATGGGTGGTGGGGAGGCATGCGAACGCAGCCACTGGGGCCTTCGGTGGAGCTCCCTATGGGGCCACGAAGCGTGTGAGGGGTGTGCCGAAATGGGTGGTGGGGAGGCATGGGAACGCAGGAGGGAAGAGGGCGAGGAGAAGGAGGAAAAAGGAACGCGGGGACCGTTTCTTCAAAACGAGGACCCAACACCACAGGATGGTTGGGAAATATTTTGAAAATCGTCCCATATTATTGTTTGACTATTTTTGAATATTCCTCCTGCAGAGAGACGGGCCCGACTTCAATCTCGAGGTCACCGCACGGGCCGTCGCAGCACCCTTCTGGGCACCCCCGGAGAGGCCGAGCCCGCGGCGGACTGCTGCGGCTCGGTCAATGCTGGGAGCGGCCGGTCGCTGCGCGTGGGCGGCACGGGCCTCAACGGCCAGTTCGCGAAGGACCTGGCCGAAAAAACACGGTTCTTTTTTAAAAAAGCACACACACAGTGTGTGTGTGTGTGTGTGTGTTTGTTTGTGTGTGTGTGTGTGTTTCCCCCCAAAAAGAAGAAAACAAACACACTGTGTGTGTTTTTGTTTTTTTTCCTTTGTGTTTTTTTTCCCACTGTGTGTGCTTTTTTCCCTGTGCATGTTTTTTTCCCGAAGGACCTGGCCGCGGCGGGGCAGCCCGTGGAGGCCTTCCAGCGGGCGCACCAGGCGCTGATGCAGCTGGCCTGCGCCTGCCCGGGCGAGCTCGTGCAGCTGCCCGACGCCGCCCTCCTGGCTGCACGTATACCCTGAGATCCTGGCGACTCAACAACTTCTTCGAGGGGCGCTTTCACCTTTTTTCGGGTCCCGGGACCCTCACAAACCGAGCCGGCTCGAAAAACCATGCAGAAAGATGGGGTCTTGGGCTCCGGGCGCGGATTTTAACAAGGTTGCAGTTTTTTTCGCTACGTCGGATCTCAGGGTAAGGAGTGACCCCTCGCCGGAGGGACCTTGGAGGTGCGCGGCTTCCGGGGCGCCGCGGGGCCGAGCCCGAGCTCGCAGGCCGCCACCTGTCCCCCGACCTTCCAGGAGGGCTAAAAAAATAGCACCAGGACCTCGATGTCTTAATCCCTGTCGAGGTTTTAGGCAGCCCAGATAGGTCTATAGGTCTGGAGGGCTATTTTTTAGCACTCTGGAAGGTCAGGGTTGCCCCCCTGAGATCCGCCGTTGCCAAGCAATTGCGACATCGCAAACAATCACCACCGGCGCCCCGGACCCCATCGTTCTGCGCCATCCTTCGAGCCGGATCGGTCTGTGAGGGTCTCGGGGCCCGAAGCTGAGCGAAAAGACGCCCGCTGGAAAAAAGTGGCCCCGCCAGGGTCTCAGGGCTGTCGCTCCGCATGCATCGGCCGGCAAGCCGCGCACCAAGGGTCCCTCCTTGCCCAGCCCAGGCATGCGACGTCCAGATTTTCTCACGACGCGACCCCCATGAGGTCCAGACCCCTTCTCCCCGGGACCGGTTTCTCCTCCCGAGTCGTTTTTTGACGCTCCCGAGGCCCAGGGAGGGCCCCTGGAGGCCGAAGCTAGCGGAAACCCTCCCGCAGCGCGAGGGGGTCTGGGAAGGTCTCTCGGCGCCCGGGGTCGCTCTTACGTGTAGCCATCCCTCCGCCAGCACGGCGGCCTCCTCGCCGCCTTCGCGCGCGCCGGCGGCGCGGACGGCAGCGGCTTCGTCGCGGTCGACGTCCTCAAGGAGGACCGGCGCCCGCTGCACGCCGCCAACGCCGCCATGGTGTACTGCGTGGGGCCGGACCGGCGGGCAGGTGCCGATAGCCCAGACCCCCTTCAGGAGGAGGAGGAGGAGGAGGAGGAGGAGGAGGAGGAGGAGGAGGAGGAGGAGGAGGAGGAGGATGGAGGGGAGGAGAGGAGGAGGCGGAGGAGGAGGATGAGAGGAGGAGGAGAGGAGGAGGAGGAGGAGGAGGAGGAGGAGAGAAGGAGAGGAGGAGAGGAGGGGGTCCGACCTTACAGTCCAAGGGCCTATCCGACCTTCCTGGACCCCCCCGAGCCATGAAAAAATCATGACAGAAGGTTGTTCGCTGTTTTCGGCTTCTGGGGGTCCTCGCCGGCCCTCGGACGCGTCAAAAGACGACTCAGGAGGAGAAACCGTCCACGGCGAATGGGTTCGGACCATTGGGGGTCGCGTCTTGAAAAAAAAACATGACGTCGGGGCTCTGGGAGCGCTGCTCTTCGGTCAGGCCTGTCCCTCTACAGGAGGAAAATATCAAAAATAGGCAAACAATAGTATGGGGACGACTTTTAGATTATTCCCTACCTAGGCTCTGCCTAGAAGGGTTCTTACTCGGTATGCTTAAAGGGCTGGGCAGTGCAAAACGCCCCGGGCGGTTCCCCCAGTATCCGCCCCGCGGTTCCCCCAGTTACGTCCCCTTAGCTTAGCGTTCCTTACCTCATCTTAGCTTAGCTTAGCTGAGCTCAGCTCAGCTTAGCTTCATCTTAGCTTCGCTTAGCTGTAGCTTAACTTATCTTAGCTTAGTT